CTTGGGTAAAGGAATAAATTAATAAGTATCAGAATGGTTGATGTTTACATCCCTAAATTCACTCCAACTCACATGAATTGAAAGACTTGTAAGACTTCTGTGATATTGGTATAAGAATAAAAGGGTCACATGAAAAAGTTCCATAACCAAATAAGTTTCATAAATCTTGAATAAAACAGTATTAAGCAGGTCTCTTTGCTAGAGCTCTTCTAAGAAGCTATTATCTGATAATGTACTTATACTTGAATTCACAGTGGGGTGGATGAGATGCAGCAATTTCTGCAAGTTTTACCTGAAGAATCCTTCCTTTTTGTGGCACCTGTGGTTTCTGTAATTCACTTTAAGAAATGCTGGGTCACGCATAACAAATCAGGGGACCTTGGGAGATAGGGAGCTGAGGTGGCATTAACAACATTTCTGCCATTCAAAAGACTATCAGGATGGCTAAATAGGAGAAAGGACAGATTTACTGGTGATAACAGTTTGCAAATTGGAACGAGGTAGTCTGGGGGTAGGGGATCACAAGTGCTCTCTCTTCCAGTAGGGAAAGGGCAGTCTGGGTGTTGTGCCTCACGGGATCTGTACTACACAGTAGAGTCGGACACATTTAGCAGGTTTGGGAGAGAAGCTGTACAGATTTATGAGGAAGGTCAAATACAGGCACAACAGGTAAACATGTATGTTCAATTGGGGGTGGGGTTTTAGCATCAAAATAAGGCAGTTTTTGCTCTTTGCATGAAAAGGTGAATTATATATGTGACACAATGACAATTTGTGAGCCATCTCTATAAGGTGGCAGAATCTGGCTTCACGTCTAGCATTGCTTATTAGGAAAGAATGCTTGTAAGGCCAGTCCTCTGTGCAGTCAGACCCATAGTGGTCTGGGTTGTAAATCAGAGTAAAAAGGTTCTGACAATTTGCCTGATATCTCCTATTGTTAAGGAGTTAAGCAGAGTGTGTAGTTTTTCTTGTAGCTAGAGCAATTTAAGAAGTCCCCACACCAAGGGAACCCTGAACCTTGGCACCCAGGTATCTTTTTCCCTTACCCTTAAGGCCATCTTAGTTGGTAAAAGAGTATCTGTTTTGTTCTCTCTGGTCATATTCCCGAGGAGTGGGTATTGCTTTTTTTTGTTTGTTTTAATTATATTTTTATTAAAATAAAATGAATAAAAATGTACTCATTACTAATGGACAAAAATAATTATTAAAATTGAAAATGATAATTATACAAAATACTAGGTATGACCATTTTCCAAATTACTTCTACTTTCCTTTTTTAAAAATTAAATCATAGCCGTGTCCATTAAAGCATTGATGGCGTACAACGTGCTGGTTTTCTATACAATTTGAACTTTAGGGATGACTTGAAGGAGATGTATGGAAAGATGTGTGGAAGAAAGGCACTGCCCCAAAGCCAGTTCTTTTGTCTTTAGTGATAGAGTTGGGCCAAGTTAACTGGGTTTTGACAGAAGGCGAAATGTTTTTGCTCTCCTTAAATTCACATGTACTGATGTTGGCACCTAGCCAGGTTCATCTGCCCACTGCCCAAGAGGAAGCCAATATTCAGAGACAGCAGGGTTTACAGCTGGGAAAGAAGTTATTCTGCATAGAATTAAATGGGGAGGTGGGAGAAATTTCTGCAGTGTGCCTCCCTGAGAAGTGGGAAGACAGGGTTTTAAAGACAGTTTGGTGGGCACAGCTAATTTTCTGGTTTCAGGGTGGAATCGTCAGTCCTTTGATATGTACTGCTGTCTAGGAGGGTCAGTTACAGGAACCCAGGGCCTTGGGTGGAGGGTCCAAGACCAGCTGAGTCAGTTCTTTGATGGTAGGGAATCAAGCCACCGGAATGCAGGTTCTGGAAGACATCTCAAAAATTACTCTAGGTTTCAAACAGGTGATGTTATTTGCAGAGAAGAGTTAGGAATCCTTACAGCCACCAGCTGTGCCCTCTAGAATAGCAATTATAGAGAGGCAAACAAGGGCACAGTGACTGTTACCAAGCACCCAGGGGGACAGCATGATTACCCTCATGATTGGAACTAAGCCTGTTTGTTTACGGCTTGAATTTTGTCATTACTTAGCTGGGCCTGCTCCTTCACAGAGTTTTGAGGCCCTTACTATAGTTCTTGCCTTCCACCCCTCCGTTGATTTGTAAGGGTGGTTTTCCTAGGTCAGCAAGGATGTGTCTATTTGCTCATATTTTTTTCAAAGGCATCATGGCTCCCTCTAAACTCACAAAAATGTTTCGAGTTTTGTTCTACTTCTGAGAATGAAGACATTATTTGGAAGAGAGATCACTGGAGAAGGATCCAAGGGCACCAGGAATTGCTTGTCTCTGAAGAACAGGCAGGAATTTTTAGAGTTGGAAATCTCAACAGCAGCAGCAACAATATAACCAAAAACATAATCAAGTATCTGTATGGCTTTATGTGGAGTTAGTGCAGGGTATATTTATTTCCTGAGGCTAATGTAATAAATTAACGTATGCTGGGTGGCTTCAAAAAACAGAAAACAGAAATTCATTCTCACACAGTTCTGGGGGCTAGAAGTCTGAAATCAGTATAGCTGGCATGAAATTAAGGCACTGCCCCAAAGGCTGCAGCTTCTGAGGGCTCTGGCATTCCTCAGCTGCGGCTACCCTGCTCCAGTCTCTGTCTCCAGGGTCGTGGTCTCCTCTCTCTCCATCTCATCTCCCTGCGCTTCCCTCTGCACATGACATGAGGACCACCATGATAGTCCAGGATATTCTCCCTGTCCCAAGATCTGTAACTTAATATCGTATTTGCCATAGGAAGTAGCATGTACATATTCCAGAGATATTTGGGAGTGGGGTTGTTATTTAGCCACTACAGATGGTCTTTCCTGGACCCCCTACACAGATTACAGTTAGAAAAAAGAGACTAAAAACATTTTGTAGTAAACATAAATTCTTAATAAGAATTTGAATTTTTTAAGCAAGGGAGTCATCTAAATGAAAACGGCCATTTGATAGATATGTGTTGGTGCAGAGGTAAAGGGTTTGGAGAGAGAAATGGTAGAGGCAGGGATGCTTCAAAGAGCTGTTAGGCTCACCTGCGAGTGAGATGACTAAGTTTGACCTATTTATTTACCTATTATTTATTCATTTAAATTGGCAAGTAGAAATTGTACGTATTTGTTATATACCGCGGGATGTTTTGGCATGTGTGAACGGTGAGGAAGGGTTAAATCCAGCTGTCAACATCTGCGTTACCTCACAAGCTCACATGCTCAGCTCTGTGTTTTATTGAGGGCATGATTAAGCAATTTTCTAGTTATTCAAGATACTGTTATTCACTATAATCATCATGTTACAGAAGAGAGCTCTGGAACTTGTTCCTCAGGTCCCACTGGAATTCCGTGTCCTTTGACCAACGCCTCTCCAACTTCCCCTTTTCACTCTGTTTCTATGTGTTCATTTTAAAAAATATTTTACATGTAATGGTTTGGCTGAATTATAACTTATGACAATTATTATTCTTTATGGTGTTTTTTTTTCCTAAGTTTTTCTAGCAAGAACCTGAAAGTAATACCTTAAGTGTATTTAACCTGGCTCACTTTTCCTTAGCCTCTTACACAGATATGACTTGTCTTCTATATAACACTTTCTTATACTCGGAACCTAACAGCAAAACCGTGCATTAGGTAAGGCTGTTTTTATTTCCACGTTGCAAATGAGAAAATAACCTTTGAAAGTGGAAATAAAAGGTTCGATGATGGATACATTTCCTATTTTAATATATTTCTCTAAATTATTTGAGGGTGGACATAGAGCACCCTGAATCTGCGCCTTTCACTGGCAGGTGGACACAGAGCCCCCTGAATCCTCACCTTTCACTGGCAGGTGGACACAGAGCCCCCTGAATCC